GACTGCTGTGGACATTCTCGCCCCACTGCCTGCTTCTCACCCTGCCTGTGTCTTGTTTCTGCCCAGTTTGGAAAAGCCCCTATTATGTGCCAGCCAGTCGGCCCAGTCTCATTTAATTCTCTCTACAACATAGTATTACTCCTCCTTGTACATCTACTTTCTCTTATTCATTCATTCATCCATCCATCCATCCATTCATTCATTCAACAAACATTTAAGAGTCTAGTATGTACCAAACGCATGAGGTACATTTAAAAAAAAAAAAAGGATAAAAATCACTGTCCTCATGAAGCTTACATTCTAATATAAAGACAGGACAAATAATGTATTAATTTAGAATGTGGTAATGCTTTAGAAAAACATATAGCAGAATCAGGGGGCCAAGAAATTCCAGGGAAGAACAGTTTTTAAGAGCAGTCAGGATGGGCCTTGTTCCAAGAGGTGGCATCTGAACAAAGACTTGAAGGAGAAGAAAGATCTCTGTAGATATCTGGGGGCAGGCGGGACCCTGCCTGGCAGGTTTGAGGATGGGGGGGAGGGATGGCGCGGGGCATCTGCACGGTCACTGAGGGTCTTGTGGGCCATGGCAAGGCCGTGGTTCCTCACTCTGAGTGAGATGGAGGGTGTCAGAGGGATCTGGGCAGGAATGGGCATGATTCTGCTTATTTGAAGGGTCACCCTGTCTGGCATGGAGTGCTGTAAGGAAGCGAGGGAGGGAGCAGGGAGCCATTTGAGGACTGGAGCTTGAAAGCATCCTGCCCAGGGTCCAGCACTCACGGGTGATGGAGCTTAAACTGGAATCCAGTTGGAATGCTAGAGCTGATGTACTTTGCCCTACTCTAGCCCCCTCCCTTGGTGGGGAGTCCCCGGGGTTCTGGGCTCCCTGGCCCAGGTTCTGAGGGAGAACAGGGTAGGCATGAGATGTAACCCACTGTCCTTTCCCTCTGTCCCCAGATGGTCTCCCTTGGGCCCTGATTCAGGGAGGTCCTGACTCCCCTAGGAACATGCTCCAGGTCTGGATGTAGGTGTGGGAGGCATGAGGCCCCAGAAGCTGGGCCCAGCTCTGGGCACCAGGGGAGCCCAGGCATGCCAGGGCTGTGGCTGTGGTGGTGGGTTGCTAGGCGACTCTAAGAGGGAGCCCTGGTTACTGCTGCCTGGCAGAGGCATCTCCCTCTTCTGCCTCTTTCACCTCCTCCATGGCCTCTGGCCCCCCAGGAGGCCTTGTGTGTGAGCCAGAGCTGTGATCAGTGCTTGCCACTGGATCTGGCAGGGAGCTCTGATTGCTACCAGGTGGCTGGGCCCTGAGGAGCCAGACTAGGCTGCAAAGCCTGAGCTTCTCTCTTGGGGCACAGCCCTGTGCAGCACACCTGGTTCAGAGCCCAGCTCAGCAGTCAGAGTCCTAGGTCCTCGCTCAGCTCTGAACCACCTCATCTGACCTTAGGCAAGGCATGGCATCCCTCTGTGCCTTGGCTACTCCATCCATCTTGCCTGCAGAATCCTCCCCAGGAGATTCATCTTCTGTGAAGAAGGGTTCTGAGTGCACGGGGATCCAGGTACTCCTGTCCCCACCCTGATGGCTTGAGTCTGTAATGCTTAAATTTTGCACTAAATCTACTTTGCAGGAAGAGTTCCGCTACTTAAGAAAAATGTTTGAAAACCTCTGGACTGAATGATTCTAAGGATTTTCAGTGTCAAACTGAAAAGGTCCCGAGTACAACTTACCCATCTCCTTAGTTTACAGTTCAGGACACTGAGGGCCCCAAAGAAGGAGAAACTTCACCTAGATCAGGCTTGGTGGAGTGGGAGGAACACTGGGCTGGGGTCAGGAGCCTGGGCTCACATCCCTGCTCTGCTACCAGGCCTTGGACAGCCTTGGGCAAGTGCTTTCTTCCCCCTGGGTTGGGCCAGCCATGGTTTCAGGCTGAGGCTTGAGCTCCAGGGGTACCTGGCTGGATATGGGACAGAGCAGGGAAGGGTACAGACCTTCAGAGGCCTCGAGCTTGTCTTTGCGGTAATCCAAAATATTTGAATAACGTGTATAAAGAAAATGTGGATGGATTATGAAGTATATGCAAAATTCCCTTGAATTCTAAAACGGAAGCTTACTTGCAGGAAATCCTGACCTGTGCAGCATGCCCCCAGACTTCCCCTGCTGCCAGCTTCTAGGGATGGTTTACATGGAACGTTTGAGGAGCACTGGATACTGGCTTCCTAAGATTCTTCGGGATTCTCAGACCTGTTTCTTCATGGGAGAATGTGATGTCCTTTAGACTTATAAGACCAACTTGCAATCCCAGCACTTTGGGAGGCCGAGGCAGGTGGATCACCTGAGGTCAGGAGTTCAAGACCAGCCTGGCCAGCATGGTGAAACCCCATCTCTACTAAAAATACAAAAGTTTAGCGAGGTGGTAGTCGCACACCTGTAATCTCAGCTACTCAGGAGATGCAGGAGAATCGCTTGAGCCTGGGAGGTAGAGGTTGCAGTGAGCTGAGATCACACTACTGCACTCCAGTCTGAGCTACAGAGTAAAACTCTGTCTCAAAAAAAATAAAAATAATTAATAAAAAGAAGACCAACCTGAAATCAATACCTGGCATAGCACTTAAGCTGTGTGACCTTGGCAACTCACTTAACATCTCTGAGCCTTACTCTCCTGTTATGAGGCAGGGATCACAATCTCTGACTTGTATGGAGGTCGACTAATGATGACATGAGATAAAGTCCTTAGAGTGCCCAGGGCTGAATGGGCAGATGCTGGCTAGGTGCTGGTACCTGGAACTGCCCTTTCTCCAGAACATAATGACATTGATAAAGTGGCGTTGCCGGAGTGACCTCCAGCTGGAAAAGTGAAGAGGTGGGAGGTGGAGCCTCTTGTAAGCCAGACAATCCTATGGGGGAGGAGAACTGAGGCCTCCTAGGAGCCTGAACACAGGTGTCGGGGAGGGGCTGGGGAGCCAGCTGCAGGGGTGGAAACAGGAAGGGAGTATCTACTTGAGGGAGCACCGCTCCCTAGGGGCCCAGCTCCCCCTCCTCTCAGGGCCTTAGGAGAATCAGGAAGGGCAAGGCTGGCAAGTCCCAGATGTTGCCTCTAAAGGCCAGAAAGTGCCAGAGATAGGGAGCCTGGGGGCCTAGGAATCAGGTCGGTGCCTGGAGCTAGGGGTGAGGGGTGGGAGGGTACCCTGGGCAGCAGGAAGGATCCCTCCTCCCGGAGACTGGTGGGAAGGAAGCAGGAGGGAGAGCCCTCACAGAGCAGTGGCTATGAGTGAGGCTGGGTGGATTCACAGGTTAAGAGCAGGTCCGTGAGCTGGGCAGAGCTGGAGTGGTACTTAGCATTGTTGCCTAGCTGTGGGGCCATGGGAAGTTGCATCATGCTTCTGGGCCTCCTGTCCCCAGTGCATGAAATTGGAGAATGCCATCTTCCCAGAGTTGCTAGTGCCCAGCACAGTTGCACTCAAGGCATGATATTAAAGAGATGGAAACAGAGCAGGTCTGTTGGGAGACCTACGGGGTGAGGTCTTCTGGCCAGAGTGAGGATATAACCAACGTTTATAAACACCTGGCGTGCAAACACTTATTCGTGCACATGTAATGATCTTACAGCCTTAAGAGGTAGTTACTGAACATAGCCCACTTTTTCAGAGTCATTCACTGAGGCTCACAGAGACTGAGAAAACAGCTCATGGTCATATAGCTAGGCAGCCAAAGAGCCAGACATCCTGCCTGGCCCTCTGATACCCAAGCCCCTGCTGTTTCCATAGCAGTACCTGGACCAGGAGGTTGAGGCCACCGCGTAAGAGGCTCCAGAGGTGGGGTGGGGCAGGCCCAGCCAGAGTTCTCCAGATTCCAGTGGGGCCAGTGGACTTTCTGCCTTCCTCTATCCTCAGAACGGGCCTGGCAAAAGCAGGCAGTGACATGGGGAACACCAGACACTGGCACAGCAGAAATTAAAAAGAGGATATATGCAGAGGTGGTAGAGGCAAAGCCCAGGGAGGAACTGAGCGACAGCAGAAGAGGCTAGGCCACCTTGGGCAAGCCCAAGGTGTGTGTGAATGGGGACTCTGCTGCATACTTTGTGGGGATTTTTTGAAGGCTCCACCAGGAAGGGGCTTGGAAGGCAGGCAGGTGGGTCAGGAGAGGGCAGGCTGCAGCCCAAAGGACAGGCAGGAGAGCTGAGCTGGCCTGAAGGTGGTCACTGAACAGGGGTGGAGGCTGAGGTCTCCATGGCAAAAGGACATCTTTTGAGGGCCTGCTGGAATCCAAGCCCTCTGTGGAGTTCACAGCAGCTCAGAGGAGTTGGGGTGATACCTCTGAAAAGTCTCAGGCCTTTTCCCACCTTGGGGACCCCCGGCCTACTCTGCTTGTCCTGGCCAGGCCCTCCCAGCAAAGGGTTAACAGTATTCTCTACCTGCAGTTGCATTTTAAAGACACGAAATTAAAGCAGGTAATTTATTCTCCCCACACACGAAAGAGCAATTAGTTCTAAACAGGGCTTAATCAGTCACCGCGAGATTGATTTCTGGAGCCCTGGGTTTTCGGGCTCCTGGCGCCATGCCAGGCTGGGGAGGGAGGGGGGCGGACAAATGAGCCGCGGCGGCATAAGCCCTTACGTAATCTGCTGGGGGCCCTGGCAGCCTGGTTAGCCCCGAGTAGGGCTTGGCTGAGCTGAGGAGAGAGGGTACTGCTCCCTGCTGCAGGCCCCCCGCAGGCCCAGAGTAGCCCACAGGATTGGCCATGATCCCAGGGAAAGCCTAGGCCCAAAGCTCTGGCCCTACCCCTCTGGGCAGTCTCTGTGTGGGGGTGAGGCGGGATGGGGGTGCGGTTCTGGGGCAGAGGGTGGGTACTCTGGGTTTGTCCCAGCCGGTACTTACACCTGTCCCCTCCTTCTCTCAACCCCCTTACCTCATCTTCGTCCCTACCTCCCCCTCTTTCCATCACGTCCCCTCTTTCCCCATGGCCTCCTCACCCCGACTCCCACCCACGCCCTTGTCTCTGGCTACAGAACTCCATCCGGCACAACCTGTCGCTGCACACCCGTTTCATCCGTGTGCAGAACGAGGGCACCGGCAAGAGTTCGTGGTGGATGCTGAACCCCGAGGGCGGAAAGACAGGCAAGACTCCGCGGCGCAGGGCCGTGTCCATGGACAACGGGGCCAAGTTCCTGCGCATCAAGGGCAAGGCGAGCAAGAAAAAGCAGCTACAGGCGCCTGAACGAAGCCCGGACGACAGCTCCCCGGGCGCTCCCGCCCCGGGGCCGGTGCCCGCCGCAGCCAAGTGGGCCGCCAGCCCCGCCTCGCATGCCAGCGACGACTACGAGGCGTGGGCCGACTTCCGCGGCGGCGGGAGACCCCTGCTCGGGGAGGCGGCCGAGCTAGAGGACGATGAGGCCCTGGAGGCCCTGGCGCCATCATCGCCGCTCATGTACCCGAGCCCCGCCAGCGCGCTGTCGCCGGCGCTGGGCGCGCGCTGTCCCGGAGAGCTGCCCCGCCTGGCCGAGCTGGGAGGCCCGCTGGGCCTGCATGGCGGCAGCGGCGGCGGCGGCGGCGGCGGCGGCGCGGGGCTGCCCGAGGGCCTGCTGGACGGCGCGCAGGACGCGTACGGGCCGCGGGCCCGCTCCGGGACGCCCGCCTACTTCGGCGGCTGCAAAGGTGGCGCCTACGGCGGGGGCGGGGGCTTCGGGCCACCAGCGCTGGGCGCGCTGCGCCGCCTGCCCATGCAGACCATCCAGGAGAACAAGCAGGCCAGCTTCGCGCCGGCCACTGCGCCCTTCCGTCCCGGGGCGCTGCCCGCGCTGCTGCCACCGCCGCCGCCTGCGCCTAGGCCCGGCCCGGTGCTGGGCGCGCCGGGGGAGCTGGCGCTGGCGGGCGCGGCCACCGCCTACCCTGGCAAGGGGGCGGCCCCATACGCGCCGCCCGCGCCCTCGCGCAGTGCCTTAGCCCACCCCATCAGCCTTATGACGCTGCCCGGCGAGGCGGGCGCGGCGGGCCTGGCACCGCCAGGCCACGCCGCCGCCTTCGGGGGCCCGCCCGGCGGCCTCCTGCTGGACGCGCTGCCTGGGCCCTACGCGGCCGCCGCTGCCGGGCCGCTAGGCGCCGCGCCCGACCGCTTCCCAGCCGACCTGGACCTTGACATGTTCAGCGGGAGCCTCGAGTGCGACGTGGAGTCCATCATCCTCAACGACTTCATGGACAGCGACGAAATGGACTTCAACTTTGACTCAGCCCTGCCTCCGCCGCCGCCGGGCCTGGCCGGGGCCCCGCCCCCAAACCAGAGCTGGGTGCCGGGCTGAGGGCCGCCTCCCGCCCCCGGGCGCCCCGTCCCGTCCCCTAGGGGCCTCTGTCTTCCCATCCCGATTCCCGGGTCCCCGCCCCCGACTCCAGCTCCCCAGGAGGCGGCCCCAGCCCAGCTAGGGACCCCTCACGGAGGCCGGCCACAGGGGAAGGGGAGGGAGGGGCCGGGGCACCCCAGGGCTCCTGCCCACACTCCTGAGATCTGCCCCCTCCTCCTGGGCTGGAAGCCTGGGCGAGGAGGCTAAATTCCAGGCTGGCTGGGAGTAGGGAGGAGCAGGGTGGGCAACCTGGTGTGAACGGTGGTCGGGGAAGCCGACTAGGAGGTGTGCCGGAGGCATTTCCAAATATTCAGTTTCATTTGCGGAGCCCTAGCCGTGACCCCGCGCCCACCCCAAACACGGATCTGGTTCCCACTTGACACACTTTCCTACTGGTCTTAGTCTCACCCACCCGAAGCCAGCAGCCCTCTCCGGAGAACTCACGCCTACCTATCCATCCACCCCGAGCAGCCCTCCACCCCCAAATCGCCCTCCGACGACCGCCACCCCCAACAGTTCAGCCTCCCCCTCCCATCCCTGCCGGCCCCTCTCTTCTCCCTGCCTCCGTCGAAGTCAGTTCCTCTCTTCAGCCGCCCCTACCCGCTAGTACTGGTCTCAGCTTCTCCAGCGAGCCTCAGCCCGGTCCACCCCTAACCCCGACGCCCCTTTCTCCGTGCCAGTTCTGGCCCTTCTCCCATATTTATAAGTGTCCGGTCGGGGCGGGCGGTGGGCGCGGCGTCCCCGGCGCGTATCGTAGGCAGTGTACCGTGGCCGTGCCGTCAGAGTGTGCGTGTGCGTGTGTGCCGTGTCGAGGCTGTGTAGAGTGCATTGTACAGCATATTTTCATGAATAAAATTGTTTTAAATATTTCCCGCGCCTTGGGCTAGCGGGAGGGGAGTGGTGGTGGAGGATAATTGACAGGGCACTTGGGGGCAGGGGGAGGGTTTCTGTGTCTGAGTCACTATTGTGGCTTTGTGTCTGGGTACTCGTCAGCCTTTGCTACACGAATGCTCCTCTGTCCCGCACACACTGGTTAAGTGCCTAGTGAGTTGCCCTGTACTGAAGATGTGCTTTGTGGAGCTCTGCACCTGTTTCTGTGAACATGTGCATGCAGGAAGTTTTGGCCCAGGAAAATGCATCCTAAATAAGCCTCAGAGATTGGGAGAGGATGCACAAATATTTACTGAGAACCTTTAGTGCCAGGCTCTGTGTTGGACGTGAGTTCTGTTCCCATTGTACAGATAAGAAAAGGTCAGAGAGAGAAAATGACTTGGGGAGGTGGGTAGAGATGGTGAAAAGAGAACCCTTTGAGGTGCACAGACTGCTGTTGGAATCCATTTTCTGCAATTTGCCAGCTGTGTGACCTTGGGAAATTTTTCAACCTCTGAAACCTTGTCTTCCTGGACTACAGCATGGAGTAGTAGCATCCATCTCATAAATTTCTGTGAGGCCTAGGAAAGGTATGTAAAATGCTCAGCACAGGCCCTGCACTCATTCATTCCAGGAAGACTTGGTGAGCACCTGTTAAGTTCTTATACTTAGCATTAAGGCTTCCCTAGAGCAACATAGTCTCTACCCTTAAGGAACTTAGAGGCTCCTTAGAGCGGGGAATAGGTCTACATTATAGACCAAAGCTATGATAATTGGAGGAGGAGCCCAGGAGCTGTCCTGGGAATGAATGAATGAATGAATGATGGGGCAGCACTCATCTTGGACTTGAGTCAGGGAAGGTGCCTGGAGAGGTGCTGCCTCAGCTAAGCTTGGTAGGAGGAATTGGCATTGGGAAGGGTATTCAAATGAAATGGCATGTTCAGACACAGAGTCAAGAGACATGTGAATTCCAGAACCAAAAGCACTTGAATGTGGCTAAAATTCAGAAAGCAGATCACTGATGGCAGGGAGGCTAATGGGTGGGAGGATTCACCAGTGGAAGAGGGGCAGTGTGGCTCAAACTAGGGGATGGGGGAGGATAGTGGGGCTAGAAGGGAAAGGATGAGTTCACATCTACTTTGCATGTGGAGTCACTGGGGACTTGGTTGTGGATTGGACCTGGGGGGTGAAGGAGAAGAAAGCATCAAGTGATGCTTGGTTTTTGTTTGGGTACCTGGGGAGACGGCCCTTCCTTGAAATGGGGCACACCAAAGCAGGAGGAACCCTAGGGAAATTGATATGATCATTGGAGCTACATTCCATAAGAATCTTTGGGATTTGGAGCAGGGGGAGGGATGTTCAGGAGAATGACATTCTCTGGCACTGGGCAACATAGCGGCCCTGAGATGTCCACTTGCACAGTGGGGCCAGAGTCCAGAAAGCGTCTGGGCTAGAAAGGGAAGTCAAGAATCAGGAGCACAGAGGTTGTCACTGAGGGGTTGGAAGTGGCTTGGGAGGGGAAGGACTGCAGAGTTGGAAGAGCAGAAAGTCCAAGTCTGCTCTGATGAACACCTTGGCACAGGAGGGACCCACTGTCTGAGAGGGAAAAGAGAAGGAAAACCAGGACCCCAGAGAGTCAGGGGCAGTGTCCTAGAAAGGAATACCCAATGCTCTTACCTTCTGGAGCCTAACTTTCTCAGTCTGGAAGATGGGCTATAGCACCTGTTTCACACATTTGTTTTAAGGTGGAAATAAGATAGGAATTATTGTCTAAGGTCACACTGTTGGCAAGGGGCAGAGCCCCTGATTGTCCCTCCAATGTCCAGGCTCTCCTGCAGCCCCCACTGCTTCTGATGGTGTGGCTGGAAGCAGAGGAGCAGAGGAGCTCAGAGCCAGTAGAATCCACATAGGTTCTGGGCTCAGAGTTGGGGCTGAGACCTCACTGGTATGGTGGTTGTCCCTGCCAAGTGGGGAGCACAGAGACTCATAGGCTTTCCCCTGGGACAGATGCCCCAGCCCCACCCCACAGCCAGCCTCTGAGAGAGCCCAGCTGGGCGTGGGCTCCATATGGGCTGCAGAGCTGCCCCTGCCCTAGGCTGATGGAGGGGGGGACCACTGGTGTGCGGGTGCAGGTCTGTGTGTTTCCATGTAGTCCCATATGTGTCTGTCTGTGTGGGCCTGTGTCTGTGTCTGTGTCAGTGAGTGTGTGGGGGGATAGGTGGAGTGGTGGTCAAGGTTCTCCCTGTCCTAGTGTGCCCTTGGCTGTGTGTATGTGTGTGTGTGGTGGGAATGACAGTGAATCTGCCTCTAAGTGTGCCCACACAAGTGCCGGGGCTGTGCAGGCCATGCCTGTGTGAGGTACTGTCTCTGTCCCCACATGTGCCTTGCACACCCTCCTCTCTGGGCGTGCCTGCCTGTCTTGGCACAAAGCTCTCACTGGGATCACCAGCACTGGTGTTCCCCTGCCAGGAGTGTCTTCTGGGCTGCTCTGCTGTCTCTTGGAGGGGAAGGGAGCAGAGGGACACTCCAGACCCTGGGTTCCAGCCCAGCTTATGAGCAGGCAGCAGTGGGACCACCTCAGAGGCCTGACCGCCCTCTGCCTGTCTCTGGCTAGGGATCATTCCAGACACAGCTTCTGTCCTGCTGGGTCCCATCAGGAGAAAGGGGGCAACACCCCTGTGGCTGGGGGACTGCAACCGGCCCTTCCCCATCAGTCTTGGAGCCCAGCAGACGAGCTCCCCTCTATGCCCACTCCCTGGGAGGCGTCTGACACATGATTTATTCATAAAAAGCCATTATTTGTGCCAAAGAAGAACTGAGCCACTGGCTTTTTAAGTGCTGATAATGCTTTCAGCCTCCCTGCCTGTCCTCCTCTCCCTTCCCCTCCTGGCTTCTCTCTTCTCTCTCACCTCCTTCCTGTCCTTTCTCGTCCTCCCCTTCCTTCCCTTTCCCCTCCATACTCTTTATTGTTCTCCTCACACCTCCTCTCCTCCCTATTTCTTTATAGACCTCCCCTCTCACGCCCCTCAGCTCCTCCTTTCTACAGTGAGGCTGGGTCAGGGAGGCTCAGAATCAATTGTCCCAAACTGGGGAAGGCCTGCCCTAGCCTGGAGCCCCAAGGACCCCAACCCTCCACTTCATTCTTCACCTCTAAAGGACCAGGGGAAGGTTGGGAGAAGCGGGGCCAGGCTAAGAAAGGTGGTGGGGTGGGGGGTCTTTGGAGGCCATCCTGGCCAGCTCCCCCTATGCCAAATGGTGTGACTTCAGCACCCTTATTATCACCAGTACCCCATACTCCCAAGTAAACATTCAATCTTGGCAAAAATAGTGCACTTGCTATGTAAATGCAGTTCAAGGCAAGCCCCTTAGAATGCCTCTCTCCTCAAAGAATGCCCCCATATAAAGTGCCCTCATATAGAAATTCTGGAGCTACTGTTATTTAGGTGGTGCCAGGAGAGGCTGGCATCAAGGGAGGCACTTGGGCCCCATTACAGAGCACCCCCTCAGAGAGGAGGCAGCAGAATGCGTGTGTTTACAGAGCTTGAACGTGGATCCAGGAAAGGTTCTTAGAAACAGACATCATGGACCCACGTGTGTGTGCCTTGGAACTTGTACATGCACACAGACCGGCATGTGCATAGCTACACACTCACTCCTGCAGATGCAGAGCTGCTCCTCGCCCCTTTCCAAAGCTTTCCTCTTCTGAGCACCTGCAGCAGGGGCTGGAACACTTTCCCCATTCAGATACCTGCTCATTCATCCATTCATTCATTCACTCCTTAAACTTTGATTTTATGCCCCCTGCCCTGTGCTAGCCTTTGTGCTGGGCACTGGGGAGGCAGAAATGAACATTATTAGGCCCTAGGGAGGGGGACTGGAGCAGAGATGGCACTGCAGGCCCTCCCCTGCAGCCTTGGGCTGGGGGTTGGGGGCCCAGCAGGCGAGGGGTTAAGTCATTTGGCATCCAGAGCTGGAGCCATTAGGCCTCCTAATTATGAAATTATCGAGGTCCTCAGGTGACTGCTAATTTCACACACACTGTTCCTCTCACGGCTAATGAATGCCCGCAGAACCCACACCTTGTCTTTCCTGCTGAACAGTGACCTGCAGTTAATGAGCTCAGGAAGGCAGACAGGCCGCCGGCTGGGTGGGTGGGGCACCAAGCCTGAGGAGGGGGACACTCACCCCTCCTTCCCCTCCCAGCTCCCTTTGCTGGCTGCAGCCCCAGTGAAGACTCCAGGGCCAAAGCCCAGCCCGCAATTTCTGCAGGACAGGCTAGGCCCAGGGCCCTTGGGAGCAGGGAGGGATAAAGATTTGGGGAGGGCTTTGGGTCATGTGATCCTGGAATGAGCATGGGCATGGGCGGGGAGAGAGTGAGAAATGAAATGTAGAGGGTGGAAGAGGACCACTTCTGCTCGATTCTTGGGCCATGCCAGGGACACTTATGAAGGGTTGGGGGTAGTGACAGCTTAAGGGGTGGGGATTGGTGGGCAGGGTACAGGCATACCCTGATGCTGGAGATGATGACTTTGGGGAATTGTGGTACTAATGATAGTGGGGATGTCACCTGGCGAGGCTGCCATGCTGCTGCTTCTGGTTGTGATTTGTAAAGTTTAAATGTTTTAAATTAAAACGGTAACATAAAACATGTGCCCTGCAAAAGAAGAAGAAAAAACAAGGGACACGCACTAGCTGCAATTGTAGGTGGGGGCAGCGTGGGAGCCCAGGTCTAGAGGCCATGTTCCCCCAAATGGAGGTATGTGGACCTCCTGGGCTGAGCACCGGGTGGGTTTGAAGGTCCTGTGACCTGCCCGTGGGGAGAGCCTCGCCCCAACCATGACCCACCAACCAGGTCGATACCCTTGAGTGGCAGTGTGGTGAATGAGGACAGCAAGAGAGTGAGAACACTGGTCTGGGGCACAAGTGGCCTTTGTTCTAGCTTTCTCCTGCCCTGTGGCCTTGAGCCAGCTCCAGCCCTTCTCTGGCCCTCTGTTTCTTG